CCATCAGAATCAATGGCAAAAACCAAGAGCTCTGAAGAAGCTACATTGCCCACCAAACGCAAGGTCCAAGACCACGACAATTCCCCACTGAAAGCCCCCAAAATTGTGCCTCAGGACGAAATTGAGGACAAAGAAGAAAATCAGACGAGCAACCACAACAATTTGGGAACTCCCGTTCCCGAATCTAAAACCGGCGACCAAGAACCTGAGGTTGATGCTGAGGAAGACGAAGATGGTGACTACGAGGATGAGGATGAAGACGATGATGAGGGAGATGCTCAAGCGGACAGAAAAGGGAAGGGGATTTTGATAGAAGAGGACGAGGACGACGACGACGAGGATGATGACGATGATTCGAGTGATGGCGAGGATGATGAATCAGATGGTGAGAGCGATTTGTCCGACGATCCGTTGGCTGAGGTTGATTTGAACAATATTTTGTCGTCCAGGACGCGGACAGGGGTTGTGCAGCCCGGAGTTCGCATTTCCAATGATCACGGGAAGAAAAGTGGCGATGATGACAGCAGCGACAGATGAAGAATGTGGTTGGAAAGTATTTTGGAGTTCAATTTGGAGGTTAGTGATAGTAGGAAATTGTGCTAATTTTATTTCTTGCTTCAGAAATTCGAATTTAAGAATATCCTAGAATGTTTAGTAGTGAAATTTTCCAAGTTCTATGTTGTCATTCTATTTTGTATCTGCTCTGCAATGAATTCCACTAATACTAATAAAAAGAGAATAAGTTGGGATTGAAAAAGGAAGGAGGAGATTCCCTTATATAAGTCTTATAAGTAAGAAAATCACATGATGCTCTCAAATTAAGCTTTGAAAAGAATGTAAGGAAACTAATTGCCATTCCTTATTGTAGTCAGCTCTTATTTGTAAATTTTCACATGGGTGATTCCATGACTGTGGGAAGGGATGGACTTTCTCTGATTGTCATTCTGCTTTGTGTGTAATGATTCTGCTATTTACTCATAGAAATGACATATTTGGGCATGCTATGTATTTTGCTACTCATCATTCTTAGAAAACCTATTGGTTAATAAGAGACTTTTGCTTTGAAGATCCTTGCTTGGTACTTGGTAGTGTTGTCATCTCTACATGCTCTGTTCTACTGAAGTTCAGTTGAAATTCCTTTTTATTTCAATATGTTGAGCATAAATCATAGAAGCATACAAATTTTGCTTTTCCCTGCTAGGTACTCAACATCCTGTTTTCACATGGATCTTCAATTTGATCTTTTTGAAGCTAGCTCTTGCCAAGCTTGAAGGGCATATTATTTATTTATTTATTTATTTATTTTGTATAGAGTTTTATGCATCATTTTCTTATGATGTGTTCTTTTAGCATATTTCTTTGCAAGACCAAACTTACTTCGCATAGCCAAAAGTAATGCCTATTGTAAAGTTAGACCGTTGTACTACTTTTAGAGAAGCTAACAACAGTTTTCATTTGAAACTGGGACCTAAGTCCTGAGTTGAATGGCTGGTTGTGTTGAATCCTTTGCTTTATAAAGATTGAGGTTTTCTGTATCCTAATCTCATCTATTCAAGCATTACTTTAGATTAAAGCTTCATCTTGTTTCCATGTTAGAAATGGTCCCTACCTTATGTTTAATGGTATGATATCTAAATTATGTGGGGATTTTGCCACCTTAATAAATGCATTTGGAGCAAACCTTCCCTTATGGCTGGCAAACAATTCTTCTCTTGAATGGTAGTTAGGGCTGTTGGGATACCCAACTTCAGGTAGGGTGTAGCCGCTGAAAATTATGAGAAACATAAAACATCTAGTCTTTTAGCAGGATTGGTATAGTGTGCAAATGTACTGAACTTTGAGTAAGAGATGGAATTCGGCAATTATTCTATAAGAAGCAACTGTGGGTTGATTGAATTGAAGTGTATAATTTTTATTTATTTATTTAATTTTTGAATTTAAGTGTATAATGAAATGGCAAGTTTAGCATGCAGTGCAAACTGCAAGGCAAAGCTTCTTACTCCAAGGTATCTGTGGCTTTCTGAAGTGTTCCCCAGTTGGCTCACTACGATCAACTGTGTTGTGGATAGTAATGCTGCTAGATCAGAGCAGGGTCCATCTTTAGTTCCATGCCCATTCCGACAGGATCCATAGCCTATATAAGCTTAAGCTGTCATCCTCGTCCAAACAACCGTTGGGCCAGCCATATGTGCTGTGAATGTCCCATAGACCAATCATTTTCAATAGTAACAAGTGAAACAACCACCCTACACACAGATGTTCAATCTTTCTATTTATCTCTCATGAAAGTATTAATCTTGTAAGACTTTATGTTGTGTTTTGATAATGTGTGGAATTGATAAATTGTGTTTATATATATAATTTCTGTTTCAATGGTAAAAGAATTTGGTTATTGGTAATGAAAGTTTGAGATTCTGTTTGCCATTAGGGGCATTTTACTTTTGTCTGTTATACATTCATGGTTGTCATATATGGTATATTCATTGTTGTCATATGTGATAATGTTACCCTGTGAGTGTATTCACTTCCTCTATCAAACTGTCAGGGATTCAGTATTTTTCAACTTCTCTGGATTATTATTATGCATAAAACATTTTTTGCGTAATTTACAAATTTTATCATGCAAAATTATTTGACATGCAAAGCGAATATGGTAGGTTTATATTCAAATTGAGCATTTTTATGCTTGTTGTCAATGTAATTACTTTCATTTTTATCCGTTTTGACAGTTTCTTGTGCTTGCATTTTAACATGAACTTCATAATGAATGCATTCATTTTCAGATTATTTTGTAAATTTTCATAGAACATGTCAGGATCTCTTTCATGATTATCTTATAAAATTTTATATATATATATATATATATAATTAACGCTCAAGAGAAAATGCATTTTTGGTAGTCAATCGTGTATACATGGGTTCCATACAACTGCCCGCTTACTTCTTGGAAAATTGCCTTTGGAAAGTTTCTATTCAATGATCAATAATTGTTTTGCCTTTACAGGCCACGAACACTAGGGGTGGCTTGCGTAGTGCCACAATTGCAGCCCTTTTATCGGATGTGTCAAGCTCATAATCTGTGATAGTAGCTTTATTCTGAAATTTGCTTCATTGCAGGAGAATGGTTGAGGAAAAGCTATATGCTTCCATTTGATATCAGAGAAATTTAATCGTATCATTTCTTCCTAACTTGCTTGAAACCCTTCGTATATAGAATCAATTTAAGGGCTTCAATGTAGATGGGATAATCTTTATCGACACTGTAGAGTGGAGACCATCGTCACCCTGTAGAGTGGAGACCATCGTCGCGTTCAAGCATCCTCACTTTGTCTCCAGAATCTTTATCTATATTCAACATCTAAAGACTAAATGTTCAATTTAGAGGAGAGAAGTAATGCATGGTTAACGATCCTTCCTGATTATATATGCCGATCAACAGCTTAAGGATATATAGGTGAATGTGGCACTACGTTCTCCTGGCCTTGGATGCCTCATCCCAATCTTAGAACTCGTCGTTTGAGGATATACAGGAATCTAAATGACAATTCTAAGCCCGAATGCGTATCTATAGAAGCTGACACCCTTAAATCCGCATGAATGACGACAGGGGAAACTCAATCCCTAATGTCGAAGTACGTCATTGGATATGAGGGGTGATTTTTGAAACCTGAATGTAGTAAGTTTGGCTTTTGTTGAACCTAAGACCATTCCAAATATTCAATATGATTTTAATCAAAAAGGAGATTGGAAATGTACAATATGTACTAAATATTTACATTAATCATTACTTTTTATGTGTATCTAGGGTAATTCAACATGTGATTCTTCAGTGTCTTTTAAATGGTTACCAATATTTTGATATCAGCTCGAAAATGGCCAATTTCAATGTTGGTTTGGGGTTGAAAGTATCATTTTGCTCCTCTACATGACTAAATTAGTTATCTCTTCAGCTGGGGCCTGCTTCCTCTGCCACTAGGCTTTTCTTAGTTTAGCTTTATTTTATCTCTGATGTACTTAAAAAAAAAATTTGACTACACTAGTATTTTTTTCCTTTTCCTTTTTTCTTTTTCTTGTAAGAACGTGATCCTTTTCCATTTCATTCATTAATAGCAAAACAATACTTTCAGTTGAATGCTAACCTAGAGATTAAATGTGTGTTCAACTTGAGAGTTAGTTCATTCATTTTTTCTAATTGAATTTTATCAATCTTAAAAATTTCAATTGTATGATGGAAAAGAAATTAAATGTGTGATAACATCTAAAGGAAATGTTGATTTTTTTTCATATTTTGAAGTGAGAAAATAAAATTAAAAAGTAAATATGAAAAAAAAGTAAAAATCAATTTATTAACAAAATAACAGTCCATGAATGAGATAGTTATAGAAATTTCAAATTAAAAAAAATAATATGAAAAGATCAACTTACAATAGATATATAAGAATCTCTTTTCTAATTACTCTGCAATTAAATAAAACAACATTAGAAAATAAAATTATATATGTGTCAACTCTTTTGACAAAATAAAACTCTTGTAGGGAAAAAAAAAGAAAAGAAAAACTCAATGATACCCTAAATCATAAGAAAAATAAAATAAAGGAAAGATATTGACGTTTTAAAGAATGAATCTGGACCGTCGATCATCGCGTGTCAATTGAATGGAAAATTGCTGCAGAAGCGCTGAATATCTCCATTAGTTCCCCTTTACCGCTTTCCGTTTTCGTTTTCGTGCAATGCGCCTCTCTCACTACTCGATCTGGAGAAGTCGGCTCTGGATTTTCCGCCAGTAAGCCATGGCGGTGCCGGAAGCTCCTCTCTGCTACGTCGGATTTGCTGGCCAATCCGCCGCGTTCCGCCTCTTGAAACAAATGGTACCGTCTCTAATTAGCGTATACGAACTTATACTTGCTTGTACTTGCGTTTACATGTTGCTTAGCGGAGTGTTTGGATGGTGTCGCAGGGGGTGGGAAGAAGGAGCAGGGCTAGGGAAAGATAAGCAAAGGATTAAATGATATGTTAAGAGTCAAAACAAAGCAGCGTATCGTAGGTTTGTTCTTTCGATCTCGCATTCGTTCATTCGATCCTCTAGGGTTTTCTTCTCTTTCTTATGTTAAATTTTGGTCATCGAATTCATTTGAAAAACGTAAGGAAATTTAGAAACATGTGAATAGTGAATTGGAGATTTAGGGGTTTTCTTATGTTAGGGTTTTGCTGATGGATGATCTTGCTTTCTGTCTTGCTATTAGATGGAAAAAAGAGATCTGAAGCTTCTTCATGCATTTCTTCAAAGCATCTCGAAGGAACTCTTGTTAAGTTTTCAAAACGTTAAACAATTTAGTATTCCAGTTGTGTAGCTATGAAATTGCAATCTAAGTTTTCTTGTGCATTTTGTTTGCATTTAAGAGTTTTTTCTGGTGATTTATTGTACAGATCTAGTGTAATTTGAACTTTATAATCTCAAATTTCTTTCCTGGGTGAGGTTTGGAACGATCCTTGCTATTACTAGAATCCAAAGAAAAGAGATGTGAAGAGTAGGTTAGTAAAAACCA